GTTACAGCAGCAATAAAAGACTGATACAACTATAAAACAGCGGAAAGAAATTCATCATAATTTAACATTGTTAAAATGCCAGTATTCTTCAATTGATCTACAGATACAGCACAATTCCTATAAAAATCTCAGTAGCTATCCCCCCCCAAATTGACAAGTCAAGTTTTAAATTCATATTTAAGCAAAGGATAATGACTGCTATTTGTATTTAATAACAAAGTTGGAGGGCTCACACTTCTCAAATTTAAAACTTACTACAAAGCTATAGTAATTAAGAAAGAGTGGTACACCATAAACATTTATATCAATGTAAATAAGAATGCACAAGCCATTACATCCCTGTCCAATTGACTTTGATAAAGCTGCCAACACAATAAAATGGAGAAAGAACAGTCTTTCCAACAAATTTTGCTGGGACACTTGGGTATCCACGTACAAAAGTATATAGCTGGACATCTTCTCCATGCCATATGCAAATATTACTCAACGGTACTACACACCTAATTGTTAGAGATAAAATACAAATCTTTTCACAGAAAATACGTGAGTAAATCTTCATGACTTTGGGCTAGGCTATGATTCTTAGATATAACACTAAAAAAACCCAAAAAACAAAAACCATATGGTGAATTTTGTCAAAATTTTAAAATTTTGTGCTGTAACTAATACTATCAGGAAAGTAAAAATATAAACGTTAAAAGGGTGAAAATATTTACAATCTTACATCTACTCAGAGACTAGGATTTCTCCCCAGAATGTGTAAAGAACTCTCATAGCTCCATCATTAAAGGTAAATAACCCAATTTTAAAAAGAGTAACATATCTCAGTTGATATTTATCTAAATAATATATATATATCTAAATGGCTAGAAGAATATATACCCAACATCATTAATTGCTAGGGAAATGCTTATCAAAACCACAATGAAATATTACTTTTTCCCACCAGGAGACCTATAATAAAAAAGACAGATAATAACAAGTATTGGAGAGAATGAACAGAAATTGGAACTCTCATCTGCTACTAATGGGACTGTGAAATTGAGTGGCCACTTTGAAAAACAGTTTAGTAGTACCTCAAAATATTAAACATGATGTTACTCCTGTTTTAGTTTGTTCTCATGCTGCTAATAAAGACATACCCAAGACTAGGTAATTAATAAAGGAAAGAGGTTTAATTGACTCACAGTTCAGCATGGCTGGGGAGGCCTCAGGAAACTTACACTCATGGCAGAAGGGGACACAAACACTTTTTCAAGTTGTGGCAGCAAGGAGAAGTGCCAAGCAAAATAGGGAGAAGCCCCTTATAAAACCATTAGCTATCATGAGAACTCATTCAATATCACAAGAACACCATGAGGGTAACCACCTCCATGATTCAATTCAATATTATTATTGACATATTATTCAATAATAATAAATGAATTTCTAATACATGCTACAATATGAATGAACCTTTAAAACATGTTCAAAGAAGTCAATCACAAATGACTGTATGTTGTATGATTCCATTTATATTACATGTCCAGAAAACCTGTAGAAACAAAAAACAGATGAGCTGTTTCCTAGGGTGTAAGAAGTGGGGTGGTGGTGGTCATGTAAGAAACAGAGATTAACTGCTAATGCAGAGTTTCTTTTCAGATTGATGAAAAAGTTCTAATATTGTGTTACGATGATGACTGCACAACTCTTAGTATGCTGAAAAACACTTTAAATGAATGCAGAGTATGTTGTATATGTTATGTCTTTAAAAAGATGTTTAGAAAAAGTAAAGGTAGAAAAAGGAGAGACTGAGACATAGAAGGTATTTAAAGAACATGAGAGGATTATTGTTCCAAGGGTGGAACAATAGCTACTTATTTCATTAGCTACTTGTAGTGAAATAGCTACTAGACAGTCACTACCTCTAGGAGCTACTTCTACTGCTAGTGACTCTTTGGTCTTCCTCTTCTGAGATGCAGGAAAACCACTCTTCCCTGCTAGTTGGTCATAGCAGGACTGTATGACTAGTTCTGGACCAATAGTTGTGGGAAGAAAGGTTGTATATTACTTCCCAGTCAAGCATTCAATTTCAGTGTGAGATGCCCCAGCCCTCTCTTCCCTTGCTGTGTCAGGTAAGGCGACTGTGTGCTTCAGAGGGTGCAATGACAGTTTAATAGAGTTTTGCAGGGCCTAGTTCAGTAGATATGAACTGGAACTCAGAACAACAAAAAAATGTGCATGAGCAAAAAATGCACTTTGTGTGTTGACCACTGAAATTTTAGAGTTGCTTTTTACTACAACATAACGTGTGATATCTGACCTACACAGCAAGGTCATGGAGAAACTGGAGTATGGATATATATAATAATTGACTTCTGTGTTTGAAAAGCAAGCACTCTATTGTAAAACAGGTACAAATTCTGCCTAATTTATTTGGGTTAGGAAAAAATGGCTAACAACATTTCTCCCTCCTCGAATATGTTGGGTCTTGTAACAATGAAGCCTGCTTTTAGTTAGCTGCATGATTCATTTGAAACAATCTGATTGACAGAAGGGGAATGATTTCATATATATATATATATATTTTTTTTTTTATAGGACTAAAATTTAATCTCTCACACAACTAATAATTCTCCATTTTCTATTTTCACATGTTCTTATTTTTTCTTTAGTCAGTGGATAAAAGATTTCTAGTAGGAGTGAATTTGGATAAAGGATCTACCATTTATATACATACATAATATATATACATATACAATCTCATACAAATTGAGTATGCTTTATCTGAAATACTTGGTTTCAAAAGTGTTTTGGGCTTCAGAATTTTTAGATATTGGAATATTTGCATTATATATTGGTTGCGTATCCCTAATCTAAAAAAGCCCAAAATCTGAAATGTTCTGAAATTGTATACATGTCAAATTTTTTGAGTATTTCTAACTTTTGAGGGCCAATGACCCTCAAAAAATTATTTTAGAGTATTTTTGATTTCAGATTTTTGAAATTAGAGATGCTCTAAATATATCCGTATTAAATTTGTCACTGTAACTTCTAAGCATGTTGCTTTTTATTTTTTAGAGAAATAGTTATTAAAATGTTATTTCTTAATGCACATGAGTTTGGAGTTAGTTTTCTCTTTCATTTTCCTTATCCCACATTCCTGAGATCACTGGTAAGAGAAGAAAACATGCTTTGCTCTGGGTCAGGTGCTACATTCGAATGTCCTGGTCATGACACTGGGTTCCATTTAATAAATTACTGCTGTGGGGACACTAAGTGGCATCCTAGTAGCTTCAAATCCATTAAGAGACAATTTGCTAACTTAGTGGGAGAGGAATCAGGGGTAGTATTGGCATTACCTTGTGTACCTGAAGTTCAGGACTCCTCCTCACAGCTATTTCATCCAATTAATTTAGAAGGCTAAATTATCCCTATTGTACAAATGGACAAACACCTATAACATCAGTGAGAAATGTATCAGGTTCCCATAAAACAGGGTGCCATTTCCTGATACAGGATAAAGGTGGCTTTAAATTTTGCTGTTCTCCCTCAGACATTATAGGCTGTCCTACCATGTTCTTTGTACAAGTCTGAGACAAATTTGACCACAAAGCAAAGCGATGCTTGGAATTACACTGTTCTTAGAGTGGGACCCCAGGATAAAGAAGAAACGGGATTATATAATATCTATATAATGAAGAGTAGAGAAATCAAAATAGTCAGTTTAGACAAAGGAAAAATATAATGCTAAAAATAGTACGTATATATCCAGCACGCTAAATTTACAAATAACTTACACATCAGTGTTTCTTCATTTATTCTTCCAAAGAATGTGCAGGTTAATTGACTCTCTTACTTTCACAAATGAGAAAACTGAAGCTTGAGCTTGGTGATGTCTATAAGGTGACACTCCTAGGAACTCAGGACAGTCAGTATCTCAGCGTAGGTATTAGATAACCTGCTCCATTCATTACCCTTACTAATCAAATCCCAAATTCACATTTTCTTATAACTACTGACCTAATCTTGCTTTTTATTTCTTTACAATGCCATCTTTTTACCTAGCCCTCATTCAGTACTTTCTGGACACATCTGTGTTATTGCTATTTCTACAAAGACCAATTTTATTCATGCCTTGAGGAACTTACATTTGCTTTTTTATCTTCCTGTGTAATTCTCTCTGAAGATCTTCCTATAGCTGGCTCCTTCTTACCATTCTCAAAGCTCACTTACACATTCTCTCCTTGGATTCAACTTCTTTGTCTGCTTCATCTAAAGAAGTTCCCCTTGAAAATTTTTATTGTATAAGACTCTTCTCTCTTTTTGATTTTAATCTTCATAACAGTGATTTATATCCTATTTAGTCATTTAACAGCTGCCTTTCTCTTCTAGAATTTCCTAAAAGAGTAGATTCACTATCATTGTACTCAATAACATATCCTCAATATCTAAAATAGTCTCTGGGTTACAATAGATGGCAAATAAAAATTAACTAGGTGAATGAAATAATATATTGGCTTTGGGGGAAAGACAGACAGTATATCTACCTTTATGAAATATATGAGAACTGATAAACTTGTGTTTAGCTTCAGAGGTCAGAAATGGGCTCTGTAGATGAGGTTCTAAATAGATAATTGAAGTTAACCTTTCACAAAGAAAGAATTTAATAAAACATTACATCTCTGATTCCAGGAAACAGGCTGTCCCACACGGTGGTTCATTAGCACTGATGAAATGTTCATGAAAAGGACAGGTGTGCATTCTGAAGATGTGGGGATACCTGTGTTAGGCATTTGGTGATGCTAATGTTGCCTCCATCCTATTTTATCTTATCACTTCTGAAAACTACAACTCTAAAGAGAAACACACACACACACACACACACACACACATACACACACATATTTTTTTTTTTTTTTTTTACTGAACAAAAATGATGAACTGGGCAAGCCTGTTAATTGTACTTCATTATTTTCCATTAAACTCAGAAAAATAAGATTCTTCTAGGAATTGCACATGATCCTGTTTCCAATAGCCTCCTAACAAAAAAGAAAGTTTTAACAGCACATTAGACTTCAACTGACATTAAATGTGTAATTACCCCCAATTAATCAGTGAGGAATAATTTAAGCTGCAATGGACCACAAATTAGACTTAAAAATGGCTTAAACAAATAAGGCTTTTTAATTTCCGTGTAAATAGAAGTCTGGGGACAGGTAGTTTCCAGTAATAGATTGTGCAATGGTGTCACAACTTCCAAATTTTATTTCTGTCTGCTCCTCTATACTGTGGATTGATAGTGTTACCCCTCAAGCAGTTTTACAAAGAATATATGACTGTTGCTGAGCATCAGGTTTTTCCTGGCCCAATATTAAATAATAGTACTTCTTTTGTACCATTGTTACTAGAAATAAGGAGACAATGTTCGACAAGTACTCAGCACTGATCATTGTCTTGGGCTCCACCATTTTCCCCATTTGTTTTTTTACATCATTACTCCATTTCTGTTACATTTAATTCCTCTGTCAGCACTCAAATTTCACCTTCATCTGTACTCATCTCTGCTTATTGTTTAGGTCCAAACAGCCACTTGGAGAAGTTTTCTCTCACAAACTTGCACAATGTATTCTTCTACCATCTGCCATCCCCCCAGCCTTCTCCATGCCCAAAGTTTAGAGTTCTGAATATGTCTACTGAGGGAGTATGATTACTTAGGTCATGACTACGTATACTGTATAATTAAACATCCAGCATTTCAGTTCCAGCCAGCAAGTGTTATGAAATAATACTGCATGCCAGGCACAGGAGAATTTCTGAGAAGCCTTCTTCCAGTTCCTGTGAGTGCAGGTATTCACTTGTACTTCTGGGAGCATGCAGCCAGTCTGGCTCTCTGAGAGAAGATGCTAAAATGAAAGTGTACAAGGAAGGTATTAATTAGGGATCAGTAGATACCATAAAAGGGAACAGGGGAGAAAGGGGGACTGTGCAGAGGAAGAAGTCAAACTGTGGTACAGCCAGAAAGAGCCTCAGCCCCAAACAAGTAATACTCGTCAAAATCATTCCAGTTGAGCCCAAATCACCAGGTCTTCACATCCCTTCCTTCCTCAGTCACCAGTGTGGGCTGTCCAGAGGTAGAGATCTCAGGCAATTCCATTTTGAGGGGTTGACAGCTGGAGTTGGTCTGCTAACCACACTCCCTGTAGTTGGGAAGGAAGCCCTTCCTTGAAGAGAGATCTGCATAGCTCCTCCCTTAGTATACCAGAGACTATGTCTTGGAACACTGAGATCCACTTCTTAAGATATATTCAGGATACGACTTCAGGATTCCAGTGAACTTGTATTCCTAAGAAGAAACATAAGAGGCAAGTAAGTGTGATGAACTACGGCCCCTGGTACTACAAGTTTCAGTTACACAGTAACGTTGTCTTTCTTTACCCACCATATGGTCTAGATTCTGCTTCACCTCTGCCATCATCAGAGGTCTATCTGCGGCATGACCTAGACCTCCTCACCAAGAGGCCTCAGTCCCTGGTTACAATGTCCTTATTAGGCCAGGGTTGCCAAACCTGTTATTTTACAATCACAAGTAGCAATGGAGAGACACCAAGATCTACCTATGTGGATCATAGGAGTTCCACAAATATTCCTCTTTGCTCACATTCTGAAACAGGATCCCAGCCTCCACCTGCTTATCAGAGTCAATTACTTCTGCAAAGGTAGTAACCCCTTTTGGCTGGTAGTCTATTGATACAACAAGCCCAAACTGCTCAGGTTGCAGCTATAGCTAAGCAGAACTGTTGCAGTGTTCCCTTGCGAGAATTGCCTCCCTTTTAAGAACGAAGATTTCTAATTCTACATTTCAAGGTTGTGGAGATGGGAAGGAAAAATTCTCATGTGAGTCCTTTGGTTTGGTAGCAATTGGGTCACTCCTGCTTCTATTCCTCAGTTCCTAAACCCATCTATTCTTTCTCTTGGGACACACCACCATGTAAAATCTCAACCAAATGCTTGTACAAATCCTGGCACTATTTTTCACAGAGTATTGCCCCTAAACCAGCACTTCAGCTATGCCTTGAGCAGGATATTCAATCCTCTTTCAGGCTGGCGTCTGGATAGGGCAGAACGTGGGACATTCCATTGTGACGGTGCAACTCCCATACCTGGATGCAACACGTTCGTCTTATTAAGAATGATTTTCGGGCTTCCTGGATTGATTTTCTCATGTATTTGACAAAACCAAGTTTATAATGAGTAGTTTTGTCTACATTGTCAAATCATGTCCTGTGGTCAGATATTTTGTCTTCACTTGGAATTCTTCCTCGAAAACTTACAATTATTTGCTGCAGTGGCGTGGATTGGTTACTAAACTCTAATGGCTTGTGTTGTATTTTTATTTTTCATTGAATCTTGTCAAAAATTCCTAATTGCATGGTTTTTTACACCAGTGAAATCTTCAACACCATAATATATGCCAGATCCTATGGTCCTTTCTGGGCCATAGTATGGCCCAGACTCCTGTACTGCTTCCGTAGTGCCTGAACCTGCTGCAGAACGCTTTTCTTCTCTAGGCCCACCAGCCTGGGCAGCCTCAGTGTTACCAAGAAGATGGACCAAAGCAGCATTCCTAGCACTGGACCATGTTTCTTCCAGGTCCCAAAGGCATGAGACATGGTAACTTATCTTTTACTTTGGAGGCCATGTGTTTTTGTTTAGTTTTGTTTTTGTTTTTGAGCCAGAGTCTCACTTTGTCGCCAAGCTGGAGTGCAATGGCGTGATCTTGGTTCACTGCAACCTCTGCTTTCTGGCTTCTTAAGCGATTCCCCTGCCTCAGCCTCCCGAGTAGCTGGAACTACAGGCGCGTGCCACAACGCCCAGATAATTTTGGTATTTTAGTAGAGACAGGGTTTCACCATGTTGGCCAGGATGATCTCAATCTCTTGACCTCATGATCCACCCGCCTTTGCCACCCAAAGTGCTGGGATTACAGGTGTGAGCCACCATGCTTGGCCAGTGGAGGCCATGTTTCTAGAGCATGATCTTATGATCATGATCTTATGTTCCCATGATCTCATGATATTACGACCTTCCTAACTATTCAACCCCTAAAAATGTACAGACAAGTGTAGTCTCTAAATGTTTTTTGACACATTTTCTGTCCTCGGGAGCATAGGTTTCTTATACAGGCTTCTGGCTTATTAGCCACTGCTTGCTCGTCCAGCTCAATCAACATAGTATCTTCAATGTAATTGATCAATGTGATGTTTGCCATAATACCCAGAAAATCAAGGTCGCTTTGGGTTTTACTATGACAGAAAGTAGACAGCAAATTCCTGGGGCAAAACTCTGTGACTGTATGTGCGTGTGTGTGTGTGTGTGTGTGTGTGTGTGTGTGTGTGTTTTATTTCATGCAAATTCAAACTGTCTTGATTATCTTTTCTGATAAGGATGGAAAGGAACACAACAGCCAAGTTCACATGCCACTTTCTTGAGGACATATTTACATGCTCGTTCAAAGACTCTGTTTGTCATCATGGCTCCAACTGGAGATACAACGTGGTTGAACTTGAAGTGGTCTACAGTAATCCTGTAGGATTCTTACAGTTTCTGTGTTGTTTAATGTGGTTTAAAAAGTTATCACAGTGATCTCACATTTCCCAGAAACGTTTTTCTTAGGAATGGCACTAATCATGCCTTTCCTTTGGGATACAGTATTGTTTCTAATTTAATATATTGGGTGTGAGAAAAACAGTGTTGATTTCAGAGTTTTCTTCTTGGGCTTCTCTACTATGATAGCTTTTACCCCACAGATCCCCAAAGGGAGATTTTGTGTCAATTTCCCAATCTATCTCAATTTTATGGACCGGAAAAATGACAGCTGGAATAATTTTTGTTGTTGATATCATGGATCACTGTAAGCTAGATGCTGAGCAGGACTCCAGGATATCCTCTGACATCCATAAGACCCTACTCCAACAAAGAATCTTTGTGATGGCTTGTTTTACGTGTAAACTTTGCTAGCATATAGGACCCAGTTACTTAATCCAACACTGGTTTAGGTGTTGCCCCATAGGTATTTCTGGATGGAGTTAGCATCTACAATCAACTGATTTTAAGTAAAAGAGAACAGGTACTATTTCCTCCATTTGCCTGTCTCCAGTGCCTGATATATGATCTGCAGTCACTGAATCCCTTTGACCACACAACTTCCTAATTCATCGGTAAAATGTTTAACAATTGGAGCACAATGTTATGTCAGGAACTGTCTCTACTCACTTTTTGCTGGTGTTGTGCACTTACTGCCAGCCAGACAGTCAGTAGCTTTGTTCTAAAGCCCTGTCTTACAACCTGCTTTCCTGGATTGCTCTTGGTATCAATGCTTGAGGTTGGAAGCTGTCAGCTTGCCAAGGATTAGAGCTCTAAGTAAATTCGGATGTGCTGAAGGGTACAGGGCAAGGCACCAACAGCATCTGCCATGTTGGCCAGTAGAGAGGAACAGTTCTTGTTACTGTGGTGGTTGTGTCTTCTGTTGCTGATGGCATTATTATTATTATTATTGGTACTAGTGAGTGGCTGCAGAAAATGATCAACACCTGCAGATTGTTTTTTTAAAGTGTTGTTTCTCTAGCTTTGCAATAAGGCAATGCCAATAATAGAGACTCCCTTCAAATAAAAATAAATAATTTTCAACATCCATTTTACAAAGGTAACTAAAAGGTGGGCCCCAGAACAGACAAACTTGTCTTAGGGTTAATTGCTGGGCTTTCCCTGTGATTCCACCTGTATTTTGCAATTTAGTGTCTTTTCCTCTTTTCCTGCTGTTGTGTCTGTTTGCCGGAAGCCTGTGGTCTGGGCATGCTGCCCAGTTAGATTTAATTTTGGTTTTCTACTTATGCAGCATCCTAGCTGTGGTTTGGAGATGACATTTTACAAATTTTGTTTAGGCGTTTTTGTTTATTTATGGTGGAACAAGTACAGAAAGCTTGTGCCCAGCCTGTTTGGATAATAGCATTTAAAATAGAAGAAATAAAACTAATAGCAAATGATAATACATACAAATGTGTGATTATACAGACACTGGTGCAAGTTTACATGTCTTCAAATGGAGCTTTGGATATAACAACAGGACAATGCTGTCATCTCTCTCTTCATTTCCAATCTTTTCCTGTAATAACCTGAAAAATGAGAGAGACCAAAATATAGGTTTGTGGCCATGGTATGTCTTCTGAAAGGACGGGGTAAGCATGCAGGACTGACACTGAGCTGGAAATTCATAGTGTGTCCAGACTCCAGAGCCAGGAAGTGAGCTGGGCTCCCATCCCATTCTGAAGTTGCCAGGGAGTGAACTTGACCTGCAAGGAGGTAAGCTGACCGCCTGCATTCCCGCTGTAAGTTGCTTCTTTAGGGTTCTGCTGGAGCTTTCTTAGTTTGTGAATGGAATCTCAGCTGGTTCCCATAGGTTTTCTGGTTACTTTCAGATATCACAATGTCCAGTTCCCTCCATGGAATCTCTCATACATTGTAAAGCTTCCCTCTATCCCTTAGTCTTTTTTTTTAAAATTTTTTATTAGATTTTAGGTTTTGGGGTACATGAGCAGAGCATGCAAGACAGTTGCGTAGGTACACACATGGCAGTGTGCTTTGCTTTCCTTCTCCCCTTCACCCACATTTGGCATTTCTCCCCAGGCTATCCCTCCCCACCTCCCCCTCCCACTGGCCCTCTCCTTTTCCCCCCAATAGACCCCAGTGTTTAGTACTCCCCTTTCTGTGTCCATGTGTTCTCATTTTTCATCACCCGCCTATGAGTGAGAATATGCGGTGTTTCATTTTCTGTTCTTGTGTCAGTTTGCTGAGGATGATGTTCTCCAGATTCATCCATGTCCCTACAAACGACACAAACTCATCATTTCTGATTGCTGCATAATATTCCATGGTGTATATGTGCCACATTTTTTCAATCCAGTCTATTATCAATGGGCATTTGGGTTGATTCCAGGTCTTTGCTATTGTAAACAGTGCTGCAATGAACATTCGTGTACATGTGTCCTTATAGTAGAACGATTTATAGTCTTTTGGATATATACCCAGTAATGGGATTGCTGGGTCAAATGGAATTTCTATTTCTAAGGCCTTGAGGAATCGCCACACTGTCTTCCACAATGGTTGAACTAATTTACACTCCCACCAACAGTGTAAAAGTGTTCCTTTTTCTCCACATCCTCTCCAGCATCTGTTGTCTCCAGATTTTTTAATGATCGCCATTCTAACTGGCGTGAGATGGTATCTCAATGTGGTTTTGATTTGCATCTCTCTGATGACCAGTGACGATGAGCATTTTTTCATATGATTGTTGGCCTCATATATGTCTCCTTTCGTAAAGTGTCGGTTCATATCCTTTGCCCACTTTTGAATGGGCTTGTTTGTTTTTTTCCTGTAAATCTGTTTGAGTTCTTTGTAAATTCTGGATATCAGCCCTTCGTCAGATGGGTAAACTGCAAAAATTTTTTCCCATTCTGTTGGTTGCCAATCCACTCTAGTGACCGTTTCTTTTGCTGTGCAGAAGCTGTGGAGTTTCATTAGGTCCTATTTGTCTATTTTGGCTTTTGTTGCCAATGCTTTTGGTGTTTTGTTCATGAAGTCCTTGCCTACTCCTATGTCCTGGATAGTTTTGCCTAGATTTTCTTCTAGGGTTTTTATCGTGCCAGGTCTTATGTTTACGTCTTTAATACATCTGGAGTTAATTTTAGTGTAAGGTGTCAGGAAGGGGTCCAGTTTCTGCTTTCTGCACATGGCTAGCCAGTTTTCCCAACACCATTTGTTAAACAGGGAATCCTTTCCCCATTGCTTGTTTTTGTCAGGTTTATCAAAGATTGTATAGTTGTAGATATGTTGTGTTGCCTCCGGTGCCTCTGTTTTGTTCCATTGGTCTATATCTCTGTTTTGGTACCAGTACCATGCTGTTTTGATTACTGTAGCCTTGTAGTATAGTTTGAAATCCGGTAGTGTAATGCCCCCCGCTGTGTTCTTTTTGCTTAGAATTGACTTGGCTATGCGGGCTCTCTTTTGGTTCCATATGAAGTTCATGGTGGTTTTTTCCAGTTCTGTGAAGAAAGTCAATGGTAGCTTGGTGGGGATAGCATTGATTCTTTAAATTACTTTGGGCAGTATAGCCATTTTCACGATATTAATTCTTCCTAACCATGAACATGGAATGTTTCTCCATCTGTTTATGTCCTCTCTGATTTTGTTGAGCAGTGGTTTGTAGTTCTCCTTGAAGAGGTCCCTTACGTTTCTTGTGATATCCCTTAGTCTTTTTAATGCCACCAACTAGAACACCTGCAGCAGGGAAAAGGCCAGGATGGGATTCTTTACCCATTTATTAGATTTTTCCTCATCTCCTTTTCATTCATTTACTGTGTGGCCTCTGATCCTCCAGGGATAGAGAAGAAAGAGAGAACAGGTAATGGATAGAGACCTGGGAATACTGTTTTATGCAGAGAATGAGAGAGAGAGAGAGAGAGAGAGAGAGAGAGAGAGAGAGAGTGTGTGTGGGGGGGGTGGGGGCAGATATATATAAAATGATCCCTCCATCCTGGAGCTCCCTGAAGACTCCCCAGGTGGACATCTCCCTATATAGGAAACTAATTCATTCCCTTGGCTGCCTTCCCTGGCTGCTCTGTTTCTTAGTTATTTGCTTTTCAGATGTTCTCATATTCATTCCAGCAGGCACCTTCTACCCTCAGATACTCTCAGGTTTGAATCAGATAGCCATTTTCAAACCCCCAAATTTCAAGGAACACACATCCATCTTGCTAACTAGTTCCCTTGAAGTTCCACACTTGGTTTAAGGTGAAAAAGCAGAAGGCCCTCCTCTTCCTATGGCAATCAAAAGTTTTTCACACACATGCAGCCCTCTGAATTCACCCTTCCAGCCCCCAGGCTCTGATCTCCTCTATTTATATGGTGGGCTAACTGCCTTGACCATCACTGGTGAACCATTCCATTTGCAAGACCAGCACTACTGTGGTGTTATAGAATCAATTCTTTTTTTTTCCTAGCATTTGTAACATCCACAAAATCTTTAAGACTATGGAAATAGTCACATTTTATACCCTATTATAAACAAATTTACATTTTATACCCTATTATAAACAAATTTACATTAGAAGCCAAAGAAGTGCATATAAAAGATTTTGTATACATGTTGGCTTTATTCCTATTTCACTTATGCAGATGTTACCCTCATCCAGTAACCGAACACCATAGGTTTATTACCAAATTTTGAGGGGTATTACCTAGAATTCTACACCAGTACAAGTTTATGGTATTATTTGCCTGGGAAACAAGAAAATAGCAGTTCAGTATCTGAGAGGCAGTGTGTAACACAGAGATTAAATGCAATTGCTCATCTCTACCTTTGTTAAATTTTATCTCTGTAAGCCCATAGCTATATACTAAGAAAATATATTCAATCTTTCTATGTTTCATTTTTTCAACAATCAAGTAGTAATAATAATTGTACCTACCTTACAGGTGGTTATAAAGATTTAGATAATATATATGTGATACTTAGAAGAGTGGAATTAATAAATACTCAATAAACCTTAGCTATTACTGGCTTAGAGTTTGTGTAACGCACACACACACATCAAGTAAAACCATTTCTAGACAGTTGGTGATTAATTTTAGTCAATCAATAAAGCAACTGGTGATAAGCTTCTCTGTGCCAGAGTATTATGCTAAGCACTGAAGTACTGGGGAGTGTGGGTGTGGGTGAAAGAAACCAACTAAGCAGAACTCACTGGGGAAGTAGGAGAAACAACTCTCTGGAGAGTCTTTTCAGATATTTAAGGTCTGAGGAGACTCATATTGTGAAATAGCGCAAATTCAAACAAAATGAGGCAGTGTTCACCCTTTAAATTGGCAAAAATTTTAAAGTTTGAGAATACCCATTGCTGGAAATGATGTGAAGAAAACAGGCATTCTCTATACATAAAGGTAGACATTTATGAACTTTAGTGTTAAATGTCTACCTTTATTGTTATATTTGGAAAGCATCTACAAAAGGTGAGTTACGTGTGTAAAGACAATGGCTGCCCTGTAGTTAAGTATGGGCTGAGGTACACATCTGAGACATGTGTAAAGACAATGGCCTCACTGTAGTCACGTATGGGCCGAGGTACACATCTGAGACGTGTGTAAAGACAATGGCCTCACTGTAGTCACGTATGGGCCGAGGTACATGTCTGAGACATGTGTAAAGACAATGGCCGCACTGTAGTCACATATGGGCCGAGGTACACATCTGAGACGTGTTTAAAGACAATGGCCACACTGTAGTCACGTATGGGCCGAGGTACATGTCTGAGACATGTGTAAAGACAATGGCCGCACTGTAGTCACATATGGGCCGAGGTACACATCTGAGACGTGTGTAAAGACAATGGCTGCACTGTAGTTAAGTATGGGCTGAGGTACACATCTGAGATGTGTGTAAAGACAATGGCCACACTGTAGTCACGTATGGGCCGAGGTACACATCTGAGATGTGTGTAAAGACATTGGCTGCACTGTAGTCACGTATGGGCTGAGGTACACATCTGAGATGTGTGTAAAGACATTGGCTGCACTGTAGTCAACTATAGGCCGAGGTACACATCTGAGACGTGTGTAAAGACAATGGCCACACTATAGTCAAGTATGGGCCGAGGTACACATCTGAGACGTGTGTAAAGACAATGGCTGCACTGTAGTCAACTATAGGCCAAGGTACACATCTGGCACAGCATGACAATGGGATTGGAGTGCAGGTGCACCATCCTATGCATTATATAATCACAGTTATTTGGCCATAACGTGGGAGAGCTCATCACCTGGCTCTGAGCCACTATTGTGTGATATGCATAAATGCAACACTAACAGGGTGAGTGAGCTGCTGAATACAGCCATGTCCCACCAACCTGTGTTCTCCTGAGGGTTCCTTCAGCCTCCCACCCCTCACCCACAGACTACCTTGGAACTTCACAATGTGTATCTTCTGATTTTTATGTTGTATGTATGGATATCCTGGAAAAGGATAATCAAGATACACTCGGATGTTTATTTCATTTTTGTTTATAAAAATAGGACATATAACCCTGGAAACAAAATGTTCTTCAAGGAGAAAACGAACATA